TCCCCGCCGCTCCAGCCCTACCTGCCCCGGGCGCAGCCCTGCCAGCCGCCTCCCTCCTTCTCTGAGCCGCCGCCCTCCTACCTGGAGCCCCCGCCGGCCACCGCCTCACAGCCCTACCTGCCGCCTCCCGCCCAGGGATACATGGCACATCCCCAGCCCTACCTGCTCTCCTCCCAGGCCTCTCCTTCCCAGCCCGCGCAGCCCGCCCTGGCCTCCTCCATCCCTCCCCCGGCCAAGCCCTCGCAGGCGCATTTCCCACCGCCTCAGCCGTCCTTGCCCCCTCCCGCCGCTGCCCCGCCGGAGGCCGCGCAGGGTGCCGCCAAGGAAGGCGGTGGCACGGAGCAGCCGGACCCCTCCACCATGACCCCCCAGGTAAGGCGGCCCGGGCGGCAGCGGCGGCGATGAACGGGTACGGGGCGTTGCAAAGGTCTCCGAGTAAGGGCGGTTAATAAACACACTGTATTTGCATAACACTTAAAGGGTTTGGACGCAACCCGTGGGAGTCTGGGAATGGCACGGCTCAGGAGAAGCTCCATAAGTGCTTCTTTATCCAGTGATGGTGGCTGGGATGTAACAAATTGTCATTTTTCAAGAGCAGTTGAGTGGTTTCAGCGAAAGTGTAAATCCTGGCTGAATTTAGGGGGGTGTGTTAGTCTTGGAGAATTGTATTCCAAAGTATAGCATGTGAGGGACCTCCACGTAACCCGTGTTGACTTTGTCTGACCTGTTGCGAGAACAGCAGTCTGTTTGCTTGTTGCACGTTGCAGGATGAGTGTCACTTGTCTTCAGTGATTTCTTCATGTAGTTTCCTTAAGGTATAGTGTTTCAGTTGTTTGCCTAATCAGTGTAGAATTGTGACTATATTAATCCTACTACACATAGTTGAAGTTGCAGAAGTGTTTCTGTTGGCAGTACATAGTTGCTATCTACTTAGATTCACATTTTGTGGTACACATACTTGATCTTATAGTATGAAATTGTATAGGGCATTGGAGGGGAATGTTCTGAAATGCTTTTGGGGTGCAAACTATTAATGCTGTGTGCTTTTTATGCATACATTAGGGCCAACATGCCTGCAAAATGTTTGCGTGCTTCACTTCCTAAATGAGAACAGTTCCAGCGAGCTTGATGGGACTGTTCATCCGCGTTGTCAGGGACAATCCAGTGGCTAAGGTTAAGCATGCACAGTGAGACACTCATGTTGAGTCCCTCAGCTATGTACGTGGGTCAGGTTGATCACCGAGGCTTTTGCATGGTTTTAGAGTTGTCTTGCGGAGATCCAGCTGCAAGAACAAAGCTTTACAATTATTTTATTTAAGTTTAAAAGACATCTAATTTGGGGAAATTGATCTTAGGATTCTGATTTGAAGCTCAGTTTGCAAAAATCATATCATATCAAATTAAAGTCACTGAAACTTTTTGTTAGTTACTGGGATACCTTTTTAATTGTATTTTTACATTTGCACCATATAACTAATTACTGCCTAGCAACATGGTGCTTTGAGTTCATTTCACTTAATTTTACGAAGGTTCTGGACAGTACTAGTTAATCTTTTACAGTGATAACAATGAGACTTACTAAATTTTTTAATGACAAAACCAGAACCTTGAAAAATCAGGTGTAGGAAGTGGTGTTAATTTGGTATTGAGGCAGCTTGCTGACTTCTCACATTATGGAAGTCAGTGATAGAACAGTAAACACTCTCCAGAAGAATTGCAAGTAATGCATTATTGTGATGCACAGAGAAGCAGCAGAACACTCCTGAAGTTTACATTGTCTGGTATATGAGTGTACAAACAGCTTCTATCTTGAGTAGTTTGTTTGCTCTCACACACAATTCAGTTCATTCGAAAGGAATATGGTACTTTTCTGGTCACAAATTTATTGTAACATAGATAGGATTTTGGCTGTCATCTTAATGATAAAATGAGTAACAAGTCCTTACACAACAGGAATAGGAAAAAGCAAAGCATAGTGATGCTTTCTTGTTGATGACCTTAAAAGCCAAGTAGAGAAATAGTGTAATTTGTCATTTATAATATCCTATTAGGCCTTTGTTTAAACTGGCAATTAAAAGCAGTTCTTTCTGTTCTCGTCCCGCAGTAACAGTGGCTGCAGACAAATAGATCAGTGTTTTTCTCTTAACTGAAAAAATGTTATGCAATTTGCCATGAGATAGTGTTTTATTATTTACCTCTGCTGTCTAAGATACTGCTCTTTTCCTTGACAATATTGTGAGTTTAGCGTAGTTTTTTGCATGGTTGTGTAGTTGGATTGAATGGCTGGGTTCTTGTGTTTCTCTACAATCAGATACATCTTTTGTCAAGTCCAGTTAAAGTACCTGTGATATTTCATTAATACCCCATTTGATAATTGGGTACTGTATTCTGCTGTTTATTTACAGTATCATAGACTGGGTAAGGAAGGTGACCAGAATGTGTCATCTGGTCCAACCTCCCAGCTCAAGCAGGGTCATCCTAGAGCACATGGCACAGGATTGTGTCCAGATGGTTCTTGAATATCTCCAGTGAGAGAGACTCCACAACCTCTCTGACCAATCTCTTCCAGTGCATGGTCACCCTCAAAGTAAAGAAGTTCTTGTTCATGTTCAGGTGAAACTTCTGTGTGTCAGTTTCTGCCCATTGCCTCTTGTTCTGTTACTTGGCACCACCAAGAAGAGCCTGCATCCTTCCTCTTGACACCCTCCCTTCAGATACTTGTAGAAATGGGTGAGGTCCCCTTTCACTTGTCTCTTCTCAAGGCTGAGCAGGCTTTCCTTGTAGGAGAGATGCTCCAGTCCCTTAATCATCTTTGTTGCCCTCTGCTGGGCCCACTCCAGGAGCTCCATGGCTCTCCTGTGCTAGGAGCCCAGACACAGGAAATCCAGATGTGGCCTCACTAGTGCTGAGTAGAGGGGCTGGATCACCTCCCTCAGCCTGCTGGCAGTGCTCTTCCTAGTGCACCCCAGTAGTACACCAGAAACATGTGGGTGCATCTGTACCCATAAATATGCATTTCTCTACATCTGTTAAAGCTACCTTAGCTTTACCAGATCAGCATTCAGCAGACTGCTGCACTGTTTAAACAGCCCTTTTAGTTTTATAAAGGGCACTAAACCATTCTTTTGCTATCTATAACAGAAAAGGACCAAGTGTTCCCCAAAATAGGTGTTATGTTGTGGCCTAGGGTCAGCTAAGTTAATTTTGGAGTAGTCTTTTGGTGTAGGCTTTGCACTGATATTTTTGGTGGTGTGTCCTGTGGTCATGAGCTGATAGTCCCGGTTTCAGTGTTTCTGTAAAATGCAACAGACCTAGTCTCTTGGTCAGCCAGTGATGGAAAAAGGTGTATGTTGATGCTGATGTTTTCCATGGGCTTAAGGATTGTAACTGGATTTGAAGAATGGCAGTCATTGTGAGGAGGTAAGCACTCAAATAACTGAACTCTTCATAATCAAAATTTCCTACATCAGGACTTTTGTTTTGCTCAGACTAAGCTTTAAGAATCTTCCTTTTCACTTTTCTTCTGCTTTTCAGATAGAATCTGTAATACGTGTGTCGCTGACACACCTACTGCAAAAAATAGTTAATAACATTATCATAGCTCTTTGTGGGAACACCTGGTCATAATTATGAGTTCTAGCTTTTTGTTGAGTTGGTAGAATGAAAAGGAAACAAAATGGATCTGTGGAGACAATTTTGCGGCAGTAGGACATGTGCTCACCACATATAGCATCTACCACCACGGTAGAAAAATCACTTTATACTTTTTAGTACCCTTTGAGATGGGTAATTGAATCAGCTTTTATATAGCTGGGAAAGTATACTCCTTCCTCATGTTGTAAGTTGCACTTATTTCAACATGTTTTTGAAGGTTTCTGAGAGAGTCCATGCTGGAGTGTGAATGCACATCTTCCACCCAAAGCCATGACAGCTTTCCTGAGTCATATTCTTGTTGAAAAGATTCTTGGCAGGAGTAATTTCAGGATCAACCTAAAGTCTGTGGAGCATAGACTTTCCTTTCATTGACCTCATTTCCAAGTTACAGTTTTACAGAAGTAATTAAAAAAAAAAAAACAGCTCCATATTTGTGTTTGCTACCAATAGAGATCATATAATAACAGAAGGAGGGGCAAAGAAAACCTCCATTCTTTGATGGACTTGGAGGGAAACATAGTTAATAGAGATGAGGAGAAGGCTGAGGTACTTAACACCTACTTTGCCTCAGTTTTTACCAGTAAGACAGGTGGCCCTCAAGGCAACTGGCCTCTGGAGCTGGTGGACAGAGATAGGAAATCAAATAGCCCCCTTGTATTCCGGGAGGAAATAGTTGGTGACTTACTGAATCATCTGGATCCTCACAAGTCTATGGGACCAGACGGGATCCATCCTAGGGTGATGAGGGAGCTGGCAGAAGAGCTTGCCAAGCCGCTCTCCATCATCTTCCAACAGTCCTGGCTCACGGGGGAGGTCCCAGATGATTGGAAGTTGGCAAATATCACTCCAATCCATAAAAAAGGATGCAAGGCTGACCCTAGTAACTACAGGCCTGTCAGCCTGACCTCGGTGCCTGGCAGAGTTATGGAGCAGATCATCCTGTGTGAAAT